ATGCAGGCCCCATCCTGAGAGATTGTGGTTTGAGTGTCTGTGAGAAGACCTGACACTTGACTCTTATTTTTTGCATTTCTAACGTGGAAGCACTGATTTAAGCCATCTTTTGAGCCACCATCAAAGGACAGAACAGGAAGACAATTAAGGGAGATCTGAATCACCATCTTGTGAGGGTGGAGAGTGATGAACAAGACGGTGTCTCCTTCCACCCTCTGACGACATCTTAGCATAGCTGGGTTTTGATGGTACGCAAACTTGCTGGTTATCCAGCCACTCTAGTTTCCTATACTGGAGGCAAAGCTGACCTGTCCTGTGAATAATTTCAGTCTGAGCTCTGACTACATGGTGTCTGGTTGGTGCAGTGAAACATTAACTCGTTCTTTATCATGGACCAGGGCAGGTTTCATGTGAGGATGAAGTCCAGTTATTCCGTGGCTCTAGTGGGCGTGAGGCCGGTTTCCTGAGGGTGGGGTAGGAGAGGCTGGGCATGACCCGGCTTGGGTGTGTCGTAGGGAGCAAGGCTCAGGGTTCACCTTTGGTAAATGTTTACCAGAAGTGCCTGTTCTAGTCTCCCTTCAATGTCCTTCTTGGGAAAGTGAGTTTACATGGAGCTTTAGGAAGGTTTCAAGTAGACAGGTGTTCACTTTGTGTCCTTTTTGGTGGAAGGGCAGGGCTAGCCCACGCAGGAAATAGTTGTACTAATTTCCAATCACTTCTCAAGCCCCAGAGGGCTGCTATGTGGAGCATAAAGGCCTGCTCTTTACTTTTCACTCGGCTCCTTCTTCACTCCCACAATACGGTCCTCAGGGATGCCCTGGGCCTGTGCCTTGTCCTGACTACTTGGCACTTGTCCACCTACTTTGGAGACTGTGGGAGGGAGGGATGAGAGCCAAGCTTTGCTAGGAAATTCAAGGCCTCTCTGGCTGCCTCAGAACTGAAAATGATCATGCTTTGATTCAGCAAATGAAGCTCATAACAATACAGTTGTGTATTTTTACAGGTACATTGTACTTTTCATAAACACGGGAGCAGCTAATGCAAATGCTGTAGGTTAATAAATTTAGAAAAAAAGTCCATCTGCAAAATTAATATGAAGAGATGTTTTAAAATACTAGTAGCTCATTTGCAATAGATCTTAAATATGAACTTTGAATTAATATGTAGTGCTTGATTGATTGGCCTTTCACCATCTCCTCAAAACTGCTATTTTAGGGCTGGGGATTTAGCTCAGTGGTGCCGCCTCCTGCCTCAAAAATGCAAGGTCCCAAGTTTGATCCCCTGTACCGGAAAAAAAGAAAAAAAGAAAAACAAACAAAAAAAAACCCCAAAACAAAATAACCCAAAACTGGTATTTTAAAGAAGTTGTTATGAGATGAGAGGGTACTTTCTGCATTATTTATTGAGATAGATAGCTTTACACAGTAGGAATAGGTACACTTAAATTATGTGACAGATGATTATAAAGACCAGAGTTCTCATCAACAACACAATTTCATTTTATATTATAGTTATTGATATTTTGAAATGTATGTAAACAAAAATATGGATAAATTATGCCAAAAAGGCAATAAAATACAGAAAACAAAAGTATGTAAGTCAGCACAAAAGCTATTACAAATAGCATAACACAGTGATGCAAGAACCCAAATCCAAAATTTTAGTCAATTCTTTACAACATGAGCAGAAAAGAGGAAAAATGACAGGGATCTGACCCAGGAGCCTGAGAACAAGTTATACAGAAATCTTCTGCATGTTCATCCTCTTCATTTGCAACCTGGGCCTCTTCCCTCCTTTCCCATTCCTTAGAAGTAGTTTTTCCCCTTAAATCTTCTCTGGTAGGCTAACAGCGATTTCCAGTTAGAGCCTAATAGATACCCAAAGCCAGACACTGGCCTCCAATAGCAAAAACCCAGCCTCATAGTTCAGCAGACTGCCCTGCTACTCACAGGGACGTTTTCATGAAACTTTATCCCAGAAGCTTCCCACTTTCCATTTGAAAAAAAAAGGTGGCAAAATTGAAAAAACATCTTTATATGGTAAGGGAAAAGAAAATTCTTGTGTTTGTTGTTTTTTGAACCTGAAGAATGCTGAGTTCAGATTTAATTCTGGATAGATGGTTTTATTTCTCTCCTTGTTGGGCTTGGTGACATCATGACATTCCCCTGAGTTTGGTTATGAAAGTAAGCAAGTAAGCAAGGAAGTAAAAAATAGTGATTAAGAAACAGCATAACACAAAGTTAAAACACTGTCTGGTTGTATCGTTTGTACCACATGTAGTTGAAATATATAGTGACTGTTTAAATTTTAAAAATTGATTACAGTAAAAGATATATTGCCAAACTGGGCATGGTGGCCCATGCCTATAATCCTAGCACTTGGGAGGCTGAGGCAGGAGAGTTGCCATGAGTTCAAGGCCAGCCTGGGTACACAGTTGTTCAAGGCTAGCCGAACTACATAGGGAGACCCTGCCTCAAAAAACCAAATCAAACCCAAACTCCCAAAGAGACCACTGCCAGTAATCCTCATAATATCCCCCCTCACTTTGAACATACTTATCCCATCCTTCTTTCTACTTTCTGAAGCAATTCTGGATGTTCCCTTTTGCGTTTTTTATGAGGTGTGATAAAAAAACATGGTGCATACTGCAGGCTTGTGAAAACATCATGGTATGTCCTCATCCTCTATTCACAGGAGCTGGTACTATGTGACTTCTAGCTCCTCCCCAAAGTCAAGATGACATGAAAGGTAAATGTTTCGAATCAATTCAGGAAACAGAGGCAGTCACATGATGCAACTGAAGACACTCAGGAAAAGAACTTCCAGTACGGCTTCAGAAAGTTTCAGGAATGGTGGAATAAGAGTGTCCAAAGTGAGGGAGAGTATTTTGAGAGGGATTGCTGACACTGTGTCTCTTACTGTAATAAATCTTAAAAGATTAAAACATTCACTGTATTTTCTGACAACACATTTATATTTCCTGCTAAAAATGCCAGTGGCGATAAGAAGCCAATGTTTGAACCACTCTAAATTTAATAATGTGTTTCCGACACGAATCCCTTTACTCATGAGGTTAAGGCACCAGGTTAAGCAAGGGTGGAAGGTTTGTCTGTGTCATGCATCTGGATGAAGAGTAGACAGCAAAGAAGGAATTCGTATTTAGTTGAAGGGTCCTATGGCTCCTGGTGAGTCTGAGAGACGAGACAGAAGCACTAGACAGCACTATAAGGCACTCCTACAGGGAAAAGAAACAAATGGAGGAGGAGCCAGAAATCCAGCTGTCCACTAAGTGTTTTGTTGGCCATGAGGCCTGAATCTGGGCCAGGCCTGGGAACCAAGAGGATCCAGGGAGAGGGCTGGTTTCCTCAAATGGAAGTGTTGCGCTAGTGCCTGGGCTAGCACTGGCTTCATTCAAGAACTTCCCAAGATGAGCAGGTGGAGCTTCTGTTCCTCACAAAGGACGAAAGCAAAATGGCAGTTTTTTCATTTAACAATGTCTTTGATCACATCAGAGGCCACTATATGAGGAAAATGCCAACATCATGATCATTTGGAAGCCATTTAAATGAAACTTCTGACAACTTCAGCTATGGTTAGGAGGATATTCCAGTTTTCTTTTGATTTTTACCTATACTTTAACAATCACTTAGATCTCACCTCAGCAATGAACCCATTAAAACATGCCAGAGAAAAACTCTTGAGTCAGAGGTTTTTGAATCCAGTGATGTGAGATCTCCTGATCTTATCTACTGATCAGAAGGCTTCTGGGTGCTGAGACTTAACTGTCAAAACACTGTCCTGCATGACAGAGATCAACATTTGTCTGTTCAGATTAACTGAGCAGAACTTATTCACCCATTGCCAGATTCGACCTGGAGCAGCCGGCTGTACTCACTCAGCATCAGAAGAGTGCACAAGAGAGGGCGTCCGAAGCGCCTAGTGCCCGTTACTGACAAGGACAGCTTGAAGAGAAGGAGGGTGGAGAGAATCACTAATGACTCCATGCATGCCAAGGAGAGAAGAGGTCGGTTCTTTCAGTCCTGTTCAGATGCTGTTCTTTTCTGCGTTATTTCAGAGTAGCAAAAAAGTAGAGAAGAAAACTCAAACAAAAAAGAGGGAAAACTGCGTGTCTCTATTTGCTGTTAGAAGTTAAAATAATGGCTACATTGGATAAGGAATAAAGAGTTGATGTTTTATTTTATAATCTAGTTATTATTTCAATAGGGCATGGCAGGTCAATGGAAAAGCCTGTTTTGTTTTTTGATTTTTTTTGGTATCAAGGATTGAACTTGAGCCCTTGCGCTTGCAAGGCAAGCTGCAGAAACACTGAGCCGAATCCCCAGCCCAAGAGGCCTAATTCTGCATGCAAATGGGCATCAGTGGCAGCTTTACCACAACATGGGAGCAGAACGTGTCTCCACTTCCCTGGATAACACCCTTCTCGGAGTAGGTGTTTGGTGTGTATGGTATCGAGCCAGCCCCACCTGATGATTAACTGATGTATGGCCTTTTTTGGCCAATGGATAGAGCATAAACCTGCAAGTCTAGAAGCCAAACTCAGGAGGCACAAAAAGAAACTGTCATTAATATTTAGTGTGTGCACACAACACACAGTGACACATGATGGCCAGATGCCCTCAGCGAGGGCTGCACTAGGCAAATAGGGTGGTACAAACACCTTGGTCCTTACAGTGTCTAAGGAAAGTCATAGCATGGCCCCGTTTCAGGAAAACTCAAGTCCCAAGTCCTATAGCTATACTCTTTGGTGGTTGCTTCAGCTAGAAGAATCGAGAAGTAGTTACCCACTCAGCTCATCTCCCAACAGGATGAGCCTCAACACTACAGACCTGAGGATGACCATGACATGGGCCCCTGAACAGGTAGGGAAGTGGGGTGGGATATAACAGTGAGCACTGACTCAATCCAGTTTTCTTGTTTGGAACAGGTGGCCCTGGAAAGAGCATGGCTCCTACTCCAGTTGTCTGCCTTGTCCTTTTGAGTGCTCTGCAGCCCTCCTGCGTAATACTGCACACTGATGGCTATTTTGGGAACTGGTTTCTTTACCTCAGGTTAGATGCCAGCATTTCACCAGCTGGATGTGCTCACACGCGTGTTTCTGGTGCTGGGGAGGGATTTCCTCAAGTGTTCCCTTGAGTGAGAAGCAGCTCCCTGTACCTGGCTGCCAGTCGCAGGAGATAAACTGGCTATTTTCTCATGTGTTACGTGCAAAGATATTTACTATAGGATGTAAAATGGAACACAAGGCAAAGCAGGTATTAACTCAGCCATAAGGAGGGAGTAATCAACAGACTTGCTTTTGTTCCTACATTTTCTAAGCAGTGGAACAATTACCTAGCATTGCACCAAGTAATTTGTTAGGCTGGAAAACAGTAGGGGCGTTCATTTGCTCTAAGGCATTCTGGGCTGAAAATAGCAATTCTGAATTTTCATGGCAGCCCCAACTTGGAAGCTGGCTCCACTCTGTCCCATCAGATTTTGGTGGTGGTGGCAGAGAATGTTGTTGTAGGCCCATGGCCGGCATGAACCAGGCTGTCAGAGTTGTATGAAAAGGAGAGAAAACAGAAGCAGCAGGGACCCAGTTCCAGTTCTGGGTAGCTGATATTGATGGTACAGTTTTTTTTTTTTTTTTCTCTTTTGAAAATAAGCAGAAAGTGATGTGGGTGGAAAACTGCTAGGAGTTTCCAGGGACTGCTAATATATCGCAGGGCCTTCTAAACAGATTCTGGCAAAAACAAAGATATTTAGACCAGGGATCCAGAATGTCACCCTTGACTCTCGGCAGGTCTGATCCTGGATGCCTGTGAGTTGGGACAAGACATTCTGTACACAGCAAACATGCTGGAAAGGAGGGAACGGCCTTGCACTTCAAGTCTCCAAACAGCATGCAAGGAACAGCTCCACTGACAGTCGGAATCGCAGATACATTAATTCCAGCAAAGGCAAAAGCAAGCTCCATGACTGAGCTGGGAGCGGAGGGGAAGGCACTTTGCCATGGGAGCACATCTGTTTTATAATAAGCAGGTCTATTAATTCTCTTGTGAAAGAGCATATTCTACTATCTTCTCTGGGGCTGGAAAATATAAATACTATATTTCATGAAGGGGAGGAGGAGAGGAGATGATCAAATCTGTTTGCCAAGTGTTTGAGACACTTTCTACCCTTCTCCTTTTGTGTTCACATTCTTGATAATTGGGGGGAGGGAGCGTGAGTCAACCTGCTTTAGAGAGTAAAAGGCACCGATGAGGCGTCTCCTGAACAGGGCCCTGGACTCTCACCAAGCTTCATGCCTTGGTCACAGCTACTGTAAAACCAGAAAATAAATGCATGCATGGTGCTTCACTATTAAGTTGAAATATGTGGTTTGGGGCCAAAGGGTTGGGAGGTAAAATGCTTACATGTAACTACAGGAAAATTATTGTGAAATGTCTCTGAATGGACAGAGCGTCAAGAGCTGGCCTCTGGAGGCAGCAAAGTGTGGAGCTTCAGGCACCATGTCCTTCCCCAGCTCCCAACAGCCGTGGGAAGACTAAACCATGAAGACACGAACATATACTTAATGTGAAAGACCCGTGACCGCCTCCTAAAGTCTACCAAGAATTCTTGTTATAAGCATATTCTCCTGTTTTGGAGAGCCAAGCAAGGAGGAAAAAGAGCAATTGGGTTTCCAGCGCCGTCCTACCTGCCACCTCAGTCACAGTCCCTGCTATGCTGGCTCTTACAGGGACACTGCAGCAGAGGACATGACCCTGCCGACAGCAAAGCAATTTGTTATGCTTCTTATTCCTATGATATTACTTATTTTAGCATTTTTTTGCTTTATGGTGGCAATAATATATGTGTATATCTACTTATTCAAACACTATTAGATGTAATTCTATTTGTGTTTTCTTTACAGTTTAAAATTGAGATTTTTTCCAAAATATCACCCTGATTTTAAAAAATAACAACAGCAGCAACAACAAAAAATGTAACAGAAGAGTGGTTAAATTGACAAAGGCCAAAATACAAGTGCAGGGAAGAACAATGACATATAAAGCACTCAAAATGACCAGGTAGGGTTACCTACACAGGACTCTGTAAAAGGAACCTGAAGATTGTCTCTTCTAAGATACGTACCATCTATTCTACCAGTCTATGCACTGATGTCTTTAATGACAATTCTAAGACATTTCCTCCAGCCGACACCATGAAAAAAATCACAAATATCACCCATGACACCTTTGGAAAACTGTTCTGAAGAGAGCCATGTTGGAACATGGCAGATAACGGTGGAGAGCTACGTGGTTAGGCAGGTGTTGGGGTTCGTACCAGTAACAGACGAACATGCAGTTATTGGTCACAGAGGCATCTTTTTTCCTCAGGAGAAAAATCCTGAGATTAACTTCAAAACCTCCTCAGCTCAAGGCAAATGCTTTGTCAGAGAGCCACATGCTTGGCTCCCTGCCGTGTATCTCCACTCCAGAGATCCCTGTCTGCCAGGGACACTGGGGCCTGGAAGGATCCAGGTGTTTTTGTGTTTTGCAGATTTCCTCATGAAACAGATGATGATGCCTGCCTCAGTTCCCCCAGCCTCTGTGAAGGCTAAAAATACACAATACGGAAATAACCGAAGCTGTGTTAGTCTGTAGGAAATGCTTCCTTCTATGCTTTGTATAATAAAAATGGCCCCTAAGAGCCAAAACAAAACAAAAAACTCTGAACTATGAAGCATTGTATGTAAAACACATACAAGCAAGCAGCTGAAGTTCATGGCCAAGTACATGGGTAGGCTTTTATCCACAGAGGATTTGGTGGACATCGATTTACACAGAACGTACGCACAGTACGCACAGGGGTGTATACATATAAATAAATAAATGTGGAAGAGGAGACAGACCCTTCTTCTCCGGTGCGAGTGGCTACTTGGGAGCCTCTTGGCCACAGGTCGCTGCGGGGCAAGTGCCAGTGTGGCCTGGCAGTCAGGTGTTCTGGTAGGACAGCTCAAACATGGTGCATGCCTCTTCCAGGCTCTCATCCACATTTAGCTGCCGCCAGAAGGACTTCTGCTTCTTCTGCAGCTCTCGTCGGACGCACCTTGGACAGGGGACAGACTTTTCTTTGCACTCAGCATGGAAAACAGCTCCACAGCTCTCACACCTGCAAAAGCCAGCCGTGGAGATGATGAGCACACGTGAAGAACAACACACCTGCAGGTCAGGGTCCGGCTGCAGCTAAGGCACTAGGTTATCTCAGACATCCCTGCCCATGGGAAGGGAGATGATGCTGGATAATGGGATTTTTTTTTTTTTTTTCAAAATGCTCAAGGTTGAATTTTACTTGAAAACCCTTTTTTTTCTTGATTGGGAGAGGCACATGGCTTCTGAGAGGAGCTGCCTAGAGCTCTGTGATTACAGTAACAGTGGGCAGCCCTGGAAGCTCTGTGTGCCAGTCTCCTCTCTACTGAGAAAGAGGGGCACGTATAACTGGGGTGAAGTGACAGGAAATGAGGATGGACTGCCCCGCCCGATAGAAACAAACCCTCAGCACACCCACGGTGAGCCCAGCGCCACACCTCTGAGAACACAGCTTTCTACTTCAGTTAACCTGAGCTGAGTGGCCCTGTTAACTCATGGCCTTTGAGTTAGAGAAAGGTAAAATGACACATTTTCATTCTCTGAAAGATATCCTGGGGTCTATTACTCTGAGAGCTTTTTAAAATTTAGGAAAAACTTCCCACCTTTATGAGCCTACCTTTGTAACCTAAGTATGAACAAGAAAGCATAAGAGAGTGGGGAAGAAAAGTATGTTTCCCCAGTAACGTGACAGATGTTATAATTTATGGAGAGGAGACGTTCCAGATGGATGATTAGTTTGTTTGGCCTAGTGGAGGCCTGCTCAGAAGTCTGAATAGCTTGTTTTTATTGCAGTTTTTAACGATGACTGACTGACAAGCTCAAATGTAGCTGCTACAGCGAGTGGCTTGCTGATGAGGACTGAGTTCTCAGCCTTCCTTCCACACATGAGTGACAAGCGATTCTGATCCTGTCCTAGGAGCCTACATGACTGTGTCCAGCTAGCAGCATCAAGGAAGTATACAGCATTGGACTGGGTTGAAAGAGGGATCCACGGAAGCAATCCTCACGGGTTAGCCTCGAGCTTCTGTGGCTTTTCCTACAGTACCTCTAGTTTTAGTGAGCTCTGGGCATATGATGTCCTGGGGGTCCTATTTCCTAGCCCACCACCGACTAATCCCTGGCACCATGCAGGGGCCTGAGGGTCTGGAGAAAGGGGGATCTTCCCACACACCTCATGCCTGCAGACAGTGAGGCAGTGGTTTGGCAGGAGAGATGCAAGGGTGTGGGTCCCACCAAGAGAGACCAGCAGACAGGGACTCCACTGACCCTAGCAGTCCCTGTGCCCAGGGCTCAGGGAGAGCAAGCAAGGACCTTCAGACTGCTTCCAGGCTGGCTGCTATGGCCTGAACTGTGTGGAAGCTGAAGCTCAGCGTGACTATATTTGGAGGTAGGGCATTTATTTGGTACTAGGTAAATGACATCATCAGGGTGGGGCCCTGACCTGGTAGGCATAGTGTCTGAAGAAGACATAACCCAGAACTTGCTGTGTTTTTCTGTCCCATGCTTTGGAGGAAAGGCCACCAGCAAGGCAAGCCTCCTTAGAAACCAATCCTGCTGGCACCTTGGTCTGAAATGTCCAGGCTTCAGAGCTGTAAGAAGTCTTTTTCTGTTGTTAAGCTACGAAGTCTGTGGTATATGGTAGGTGCTCTGGGCAGAAAAACAATGCCCTCAAGCAAGTTACTTCACCTTCTGAACATCAGTTTCTTCATCTGCTCAGTGGAGACAACATCAGCACCCACATGAGGGGTGCTTGCTGCTACAGATGAGATCATGGGTAAAGCGTCTGGCATAATTTCTGACACAGGCAAGTGGGCACTGCTCCCTCCAGTGTGCCCCGAGGCTGCCTGCTGCCTTTCTGGGAGGCTTTGCTGTAGCCTGACTTTGCCTACACCACACTGGTGACCTGGGGACATATCACCCCCTCATTTCACAGATTAGAAAACAGATTTTAAAAGGCTAGTGACTGTCTCCCAGCAACAAAAGAGGGGAAGAGAGTTGTGAGTGGAACCAGGCTGCTGGCATGCCAGCCGAGGCTCTTCCTGAGTGCCATGCCACCAGCCATCCGAGTGAGCACATGCGCTGTTGTGCTGGGAAACAACATTTTGTGTCAGAACACCTTGTTGAATCACAAATTTCTCTGAAGCTGAGTGATCCTGGGTAAGTTATTACTTTCTTGGTGCTTCGGTTTTCCTTGTTTGTAACATGCTGCTCATGATGACCTCCTCCTTACTCACTGGGTTGCTGTGAAACTAAGGTGAGCAAACACAGGTGAGAGGACCATGTAAATGGCGTGACACCATCCTTCCGAGGTGACTCCAGCCTGCTGCCTTCTTGATAGTGGTACTGTACCGGACCTCTCTGCTTCTTCCTCCCTCCTGCCAGTGGAAAGGAGGGGCAGACCTAGGTTTCCCAGTACCTCTAGGCTGGGCCAGCCCTCCACCCCAACCCCTCCAGTTGCAGTGGCTTTGCCCCCCCCAGGCCACACCTCTCTAACCTTCTATCAGGAAGGTGACACTAATGCTAGCTTTATCAAATAAATTTCCTTCTCTCTGCCCCCTTTGCCCTGCTGTGTTAGTCAGAGATTTATACACCCAGGGATGTTGCCCTAGGGCACTGATTTGATAAGAAAAAAACACACTGTGTCTGTCCCTCCAGTGCTACTCCCTTATCTCTGCTGATACCAGGCCCCCAGTGAGTGAAGAAGTTCAAGTCTTATCGGGTATTTTTAGTGTTACAAATACTCATAGGGTTATGGAGGGACCAGTGCACCTGCTCTTTCTAGCCAAAGGTCAGTAACTGAAAAGAAGTATGAGATAAAAACCAAAACTAATGATTTCAAAATAGAGCCAAGCCCTATTTTCTCAGAATTTATAACCCAGAGGACATCTTTTCAATTGTCATGTGGACAAATTGATCAATGACCTCCCCAAATTCAAAGAATCTATAGTTAATCACTCCCTCACCCTCAATTTTCTTTTTAAAGGAAAAGAATCAGAGCAAAAGAAGGAAAAACCATTCTCTTCACATAAAATTTATGGAACTCTATTAATAAAAATATAATGCACAGGAAAAACAAAGCATTTACATCTAAAAATGCAATATGTAGGTATACTCCTGTTTGAAAATAGAGTTTATTAAGAAGGATTTTCACTTGAGAAAGACTGGCTCCTGAATGTTTCCTAAGTTTTACGATTATATTAAAAATATGACTTAACACATAACTTTTTAGGAACACTTTCCATATGAAGCCAAATCTACCAACATCATCGTCTCAGCTGAGAACTGCAACAGTAATGAAAGAGAAATGTCCCTTTGCTGTTCTTTCGTGATAACATCAAATGAAAAGCCAGTGTCTTTACATCAGAGTCACCCAGTCCCAGCAATAAGCAGTTTCACCACAGACAAAGACACTGTGTCCTCCTACTGCAGTGTCACTGCTACTGACCAAAGTTGTCCAATGGGGTTTTCGCTTTTTTCTTGAGCATATACATGCTTCACGGGTTAGAATTCAGCGCTCAGCATTACCGACATTTTGTGTGAGATAGTTGTTTGAAGTGGGGGCTGTCCAGTGTACTGCAGGATGTTTAGCAGCAACCCTGGATGTCTAACCTTTAGATGCCAGGAGCATCCTCCCCACTCCCTTGAGCGTTGTGACAACAAGCCCTATCTCCAGATATTGCCTAATGACCCTGGGGGACAAAAACCATCACTGTTGGGAACCGCTGACCTATCCATGTGGAAAAGGCATCATACACGGGCTATCCAAGGATACTTAAACAGCACCCCCCACCCCGGATTTGTAACACCTGCCGACTTACACTCTTATCAACAGTGAGGTACAACGTAGTACATATCCATTTAACTTGCACAAAAATGTACCTTTAACACATTGTTTGATTAAATGAAACTCACTAGCATTAACTATCCAGTGGTTTCTAAAAGTAATTTAGAACATGATTTAAGAAATTGCCACCCAGGCACAATTCTATGCTCAGTAACTCCTTAACTAGCAACTGACTGAGTTTTCATTTCTTCCCAAGAGCTCTCAGGGTTTGGCCCTCGGTCATGTTTCTTTGCTCTTTGGCCAACACTTTCTGGGCCATTCTTTGTGGCATTTTCCACTCTTCATATCCTACCCAGGTTTCATGTCAAATCAAAGGCAAAAACTTTTGCATATGCTTCAAAATAGATAGCTTTTGTGCAACTGTGAGGTACTTAAGTTTTGTCAATTTCTGAGTGAAACACTGCAGTAAAACATTCACAAGGCTGCTCCCCATACAGGGAGATCTCTACTCTGAGGTTCCCTAGTGTCAAGGGGACTCTGGGTAATTTACTTCATCTTTAAGCCTCATTCTCTACAGAAACAAATGAGGTCAAGTTAGATGATAACTAAGGTCCTTTTAACTTGCAGATTTGGGGTAGGGAAAAAAGCTACTTTGGGTTGTAACCTCCTCTCCAAATTTTCTTGTTCCAAGGTCGGTGGATGAATGAGTGTGGGTGAATGAGTTGCTTGCTGTCTCTTCCTTAGAAAGTCTCAAATTGTCAAAGTGGGACTGAATGAAATGAGCCTTAAGGTGTGATACATTACTTTGAATTTTACTTGTATTAATCAAGCTATAAAATAACTATGAATTAGGATACACAGCACTAACAGGAGTTTGGCCAAAAGGAGCTGGCTCTGCCCCTACCTCATAAAATTTCAATTAGAAATAAAGGATTCGGTTAAAGTTGTCTCTCATCCCAGTTACCATCAGTACTTAATGTACTCAAGAATTGTTAAATGTGGGTTTTTGGGGAGGGGGCAGCTAGAGGCAGTAGGCATTTTCCACCCTATACTGAAGTGTCTTGTGTTTGAATCACGGGGACAGCCCCCACTGGAGTGAACTGGGTACATGTCAGTCAGCACTGAACACATCATAGTAGGTGGGACTAGGACGGACAGGCTAGAATTCTTCTTCCCTGGAAGCTCTAGGGGACAACACTAGTAAATGGTTGAGGCCTGGCAAACGGCTCTCCTTTCTT